ATTCGGCAAGAAGAGTTGCTACTTATGCAAAAGGCAACGAGCGACTGAACTACTTGGGGGACAGGAACACGGCCTTTTACCATAGACATATTAAATTCCGAAGACGAAAGGGGCATATAACTGAACTAACGGAGGACGCAGGCTCCCTTGTCACGGATCAGAAGGCCTTGAGCCGGTTGGCTACAAATTTTTTTTGATGAATATACGCAGCTGAATGCATCCTGATGCCGCCCGAGAGCCTGACGACCCTCTTTCCCCATTGCGATATTAATTTGTTGCGTGGATTGGTGGATGACATTACAGACAATGAGATTACCACAACCTTACACAATATGGGCCCTCTGAAAGCTCCAGGACGAGACGAGTTGCATGCACTCTTCTTTCAGAAACAATGGGATGTCGTTGGCTCGGCTGTGCAACGGCTCATCCGTCGAATGTGGCAACGTGGAGAAGTCCCAAGTCAACTAAATCAAACTCTGCTGGTGTTGATTCCTAAGGTTGAGAACCCTAGCACAATCTGACAGTTTCGACCGATAAGCTTGTTGAACGTGGTCTATAAGCTTTTCACTAAGGTACTGGTGAACAGATTAAAAAGTACCTTATTAATTCTGATTCATCCGGCTCAAGCCAGTTTTGTCCCAGGCCGCCACATCACGGACAACATCATTACCGCCCAAGAGTTAATTCATTCGATGCGAGGGCAACGGGGGCCGAATGGGTTCATAGTCATTAAAGTGGACCTCGAAAAAGCATATGACTACCTAAGATGGGACTATATTGAGGAAACACTACTTCTAGTGGGCTACCCCGAGAAGCTTGTTCGTGCCGTAGTGGCATGTCTTATCTCTGTTTCGATGAATCTACTATGGAATGGAACGATTGGTGAGGAATTCCGTCCCACTCGAGGTGTCAGACAGGGTAACCCCATATCCCCCTATCTCTTTGTGTTGTGCATGGAACGTCTGGCTCAGAGCATCACTAAGTCGGTGGAGGACTCTTCTTGGCGTCCTATTTCGGTGAGTCGAAACGTCGTGGCTGTACCTTTGTTTATGTTTGTCGATGATCTTCTTCTATTTCTGGAGGATTTCGATGATCAAGTCTGTACTCTCAAGCAGGTACTTGATCGATTCTGCTCCTGGTCCGACCTCCAAGTTAGCTCGGACAAAACACAGGTATTTTTTTCCCCTAATGTGTCGGTGCATGAAAAAACACGGCTGGCAATGGCCCTTGGTTTCACCTTCACAAATAATTTAGGGAAATATCTTGGTATACCAATGCTCCATTACAGGATGACCAAAGACACTTATAACCACTTCTTGGAAAAGACGGAGTCCCGGCTCGTTGGATGGCGTATGAAGACACTATCGTTGGCAGGGAGGGTGACCCTTACGCAGTCCGCTTTGAGCACCTTACCTCTCTTTTCGATGCAAACGACTTTGATTCCACGGACTACCACAGATGTGCTTGAAAAGAAATGTCGCGCATTTGTGTGGGGTGGATCTGATGACCGGAGAAAGATACATCTCGTGGCATAGAAGGATGTGTGTAAGCATAAAAATGAGGGAGGCCTGGGTATATGGGACCTCCGTCGCATGAATTATGCTTTTTTGATGAAGGTAGGTTGGGGTCTTCTAACTAACCCGAATGCACTATGTGTGCGTGTGATGTCGGCCAAGTATGGACTTCACTTAGCGTTGGATATGGAGTTGGGTACCGGGTGGCATGCCTCACATTTAATGCGAGGTCTTCGC